TAAAAAAAATTATTTTTCAAACATTTTATGGATCATTAAAAAAGATCACATTTAAATTGGAGAAATCACAAATTTAAATTTTTAAAAATACTTAAATTATTAAAGAAATAAATAAAAATTTATGGAAAGGTAATGCAACCTCAAAATGTTTATTTTTCCATTTAAATTGAAATAGTAATTGATCAAGTACATTTGGGGATTGAGAAGTCACGGTAGAACTTGATCAAACAATAGCAAAGATCCTATAAACTTTAAATATTCTTATATGAAAAGTAATTGAAGTTTTAAGACACACTTCATCACAGGTCCATACTTAGAAATTGATGTGCCTTTGGCTACTTATGTATAAGTAATGCCCTTCAATATGTCAGCAGGCAGATGAAATTAGTGCTGACCACACTATCACCTTGACCATGAGATGTTGAAGAAAGGTTATTTTCGTAAGTTGAAAAGATCCGGATCTTTTATTTAAATATATATACAATCGACTCTTGGTAATTTGACATTTAGTAATTAGTCCATTGAAAAATATACAATAAATTGTACAAATCAATGCTTTTGTCCACTTGGTAATTTGAAGTTGTATAATGATATCTTGCTTGCGCACTAACACTTCACGGGCAGCCTTTCACTTTTTAGTAATTTGCTATTCCACACATTTAAAAACTTTTTAATTTTTTTTGTTTAATTTACTTTCATGCGGAACACTAATACAATATAATGGTCAATAAAATAGTGATTAAGAGATAGTGAACAGATCTACGATATGTTTAATTTTGAATGAAAGAGTAAAATTAAATTGTGGAAATATAAGTTCAAAGAACGTAGAAGTAGCATGCTTCTAACTTTTAGGGGGCATGTATGACTTATTGCTAAGTTTAATAAATTAATAACGTTTGTTATTCTCTGCCTAAGAGAGAGAAAAACACTACATTTCGAATGTACTCAGAGAGAATAAACAATAAACTCACAACAAAGGTATGGGTTCATCAAGGAAAGTTTGGTGAAATCAGATAGTTCAAATTGTTTTAGAGGTATAAACAAACCAATTCTAAAACGATTGGGAAGATAGAGATTCATTCCACGAGTTTGCCACAAAATAAGAGAACACCTTAAACTGGATCAAAAGATTAACACAGTAAACAGAATAGATAAATTTTTCCTTCACTAATCTGCCTACTGCAGACAATGCTATTGGGAATTGGGAAATCGCCCCGTCGCTATTTGTATCAGTATAAATAATACTCTGAAGAAATTGGGCCCTGATAATGATAGGGTTACCAATCAACAATAGCTCAGTCATGATGTATGCTCTGTGGTGATACAGAGGTGTGAATCTTTTACAGAGGGAAATTTCAGGGACGTGGAATGGAAATGTTGAATCAATAAAAATACCCAGAGAAATTCAGCGAAAGAATTTATAGTTAAAGAGTTTTGGTTCGGAAGTAGGAAAACTCACCCTTTTACAAATAAGTTTTTAGAGAAGCTGGGTGTTAAAAAGAACTGGCTACAGAACATGCCAAAAAGCATAATTCTGGACTCACTTTGAATCCTTCATCACCACCTGTATTAATCCAGACCTTCGCTTCGTCCATTCTACGAACAGAAATAAAAGAAAACAAAATCTTAGCATGTACTATTTGTTATACTTACTAGTCCCGTTTAACTCTCTCTTGGCTGTTTATTTAAATAGTATATACTAGACTGATCACAAGGCAATGCCAATTAGCAGCTGAATATAGTTGAGCAACCTTGCAATTGTAGTGTAGTGAAGTACCGTATTTCTGTAATTCATTTAGGATCGACTTATTATTTCTTTACATACCCTGAATAAGATAATTAAGTTTATAATTTTTTTTCATACAGTGTAGACTTGACGTGATTTTTTAATTTGAGAAGCTTTGCTCATAATGAATAAGGCAAGTTCATCTCTTCATGTCCTAATGCTTCTGCACTCTCAGCAAACAGTGATAATTTATGATGATTATCATTAGCAATGATCACCATCCAAAATTCAATGGGCATTGGAGGATGAATATCACTCAATGTAAAGAAACAAAGAGTTTTTTTTCTTGATTAACGTTAACATTTCATTTTTATTTTATTGATAAATGAATGCACTTCCATTTTGCATATCTATTTTATTTCGTACATTTCAAAATAAAGATCATGATGTGTACATCCTACTTTTAATCAAACCTTCAATATTTGAATTTGTCTACCTCTCCTAGATTATTAGTTGGATTATTTTGTATTATAAGTGATAAAAGCTTTATCTCTAGTCCCTTGGGTTTCAAATTATCAAGAGCCGACTGTATAAGATAACGAATAAAAAAAAAAATATTTCAGGTTTTATAATCTTTGAATCATTCATTCGGAAAGAACTTCAAAGCTATTTCAGTTAATCATGCTGAATATCTGAAAAAAATCGAGATATGAATTTAATCATTCTTCTTAAATTTAATATAAAGATCTAATAGAAAAAATGTCATCACCATATGTTACATGTTCTGGCTTCAGATTTACAAATAACACCTTCACTTATCTAACAGAAAGTAGAAGATATAGAATGAAACTAAAAACATGACTAAAACTAGAAATTGAAAAACCTGAAGTATTAAAAAATCTTTTTTACTTTTAAAAATATACAATTTTTAATTTAAGTGAGGGTTTTTTTTTCTCTTCTAGTGATCATTTACTGTGGTTTAAATTTAGTGCAGCATTGTCTCAATATAATTTGAAATAATTTATTTTGGAACATTTTCGTTTTCTTCCACCAGAATATCAAAGTAATTTTGATTACGTTGGACATTTGCATTTATTTATTTATTTTCTAAACTAATTCTACAGATATTTGATAGGATTTACATCAGACGGCAACTCTAAGCATCTCATTAAATTTTTTTTAAAAGCATTGTGAAAAAGAAAACAGAAACTGAAGAGCAGCTATTCAGGGTATTAACTAGAATATTAATATCTAAAAATTACTTATATGACACGTTTATCAAGAGGTTTTTCGACTTCAAAATGTAAAACAATTATTGTAGGCTAGTCCAACACACACAGTAAAAAAATGTAACAGTTTATAGAACAACCAACTGTTAGAAATCAAACAGTGATATAATTCTCTGAAGATTAACATAATTTATTGTCTGGGAAGAAGCAATTATAAATTCTTCTTGAAGAAAATTTAAAATGCATTAATAATTTTCATATAAATGTTAATGAAAAAATATAAACAAGATAAATAGCACTTTATGTTAATTCTACAAATGGTAAAACTGATTGTATAAGATAAAGATAATAAATTAGAATAAACACATTAAAATAAATAAATAATTTTATGAAAAAAGTATAAACATACAAGCATTAAGTACTTTTCAAATATGCAAGCAATATCGGTAACTAATGAATATTTCAAACGCCTGGTATTAATTCCATGAACCTAAAAACAGTAATAAACACTTTCCATTTACCAGGAGAATCATTTACTCTTATTAAAAAAAACTTTTTATTGATGTAATCACAATGAAATGCAACAAGAACAATCATATATTATATAAAACAAGAACATCAACTTGTAATAAAATAAATAAACATCACAGTCTTAGGAGACGCTCTTCATGGATATCACAGTCAAATAACAATATCAAACGAGAGAAAAAAATAAAGATAATATAACAAATGACAACTTGATTAGCAACTAAATCACTAAATATGGTTTTAATGTAAGGCATCATCAAGCACTTCAAAATAATACATAACTAATTCAGAAATTTTACAGTTTCCAATTTATTTACAAACAGCAAATATAAATGCTAATTATACTGTCACATAACTTTTTCTTAAGCACTATAATTAAATTCTTATTGTCCGCTTATATCATTCTCATATATTTTAAAATTTTAATTCTAAAAATGATTTATTATTCTAAATAAATAATTTCCTTCATGCTTGAAGAAAGGAAAAATCAGTCACTTGTAAAGTCATGATTACAATCTTAATCGAGCCAAAATGACAATGTCTTATTTAATTTATTACTATTATGAAAATAGCCATCTTGTCTTCAATGTATTTTAATCTATTTACAGTTCTAAACCAAAATAAAATAAATATTATACATCAACATGCATAAACAATATCCAAACTTTGAATATATTGGAAAATTCTTTGAATATATTATATCTTTCTTTTGGCATACAACAGAATCAAAATACCTATTCTGGTTTGAAAAAAAAAAAAATTAAAGTTGTCTCCTTTTCTAAATCCATAATTTTCTATGAATATTTGACATTTCTTTTAATTGTTTTTTTTAATTTATTATTCTACTTAATTCTAATAACACATATACAAGTAAATTATTTACTGGTAATTTTTAAGAATAAGCATTTTAATTTCATCACAAAAATTTTATTGAATGATAAATAAGTTTCATAAATTACAATTACAAAACAATATAGAAGTATTTACAAACTATATATACACTTTTATTTATTTCAATGTAATACACAATAGGAACTTTTGATATCACAGATTTAATATCACATAAAATTGGCAATATAAATCACAGAATTAGGAAAAAAATAGCGTGTGCAAGGCATTTACAAAATAAAGCAGGCAATTACAAATCAAGAGTAACCAATGAAAAACAAATGAACAAAAAAAAAATTTTCAATAAGCCTTATTTGAAAAATATTATATTTACTATAACAACAGTATTAAAATTTTAAATAGGAAGGAATTGAGGAATATATTATAACTTGTTTATTTAACAGATTATAACACTACATGTAAATAAATAAACAATAATGTACTAAAATTTGAATTATTTTTCTAATGAAATTAGCGACTGGAATACTAAAATAATTCACTCAAGTTTCTATTGTAATTTTCAAAAGCCAAGAAATGCTTGCACACACAAAAGTTGAAATATTACAGAAAGTAATATAACCTAAAATAATATTTCTACAGCACTAATAAAACAAAAGAGTGATAAATACCTGGGATATTCCTGAGGATAAAACTCCTGCGACTTAGACCCGTACCTCCCACCTCGACCGTTTCTGGTTCCATGAAAATTATTGTATTGTTCTTCTTTATATCTTTGGGAATAATACCTGCAATGTTCATTCAAAATCAAAACGAGTATATAAATTTCCTTTGGATTATAGAAAAATGTATAAATGTCTACAGGAACCAAAATAACTCCTTATTTTTATTTTTGATTAATTGTAATTTTGATCTTTACAAGATTTATCTTTGCTGACATACTCCAGGTGAAAACAAACAATAAGAAATGATGATGTTGAATACTCAATGGTTGACCATTGTATAATATTGAGGAAGGAAATGGGGTTGGCAAAATAGTGAAAAAACGATTTTATTTTAAGCCAATGTTTCGACGGCAGGTCTTCTTCAGGAGTATAACGAAAAAGATGTAAAAGAATATAAAAATCAGATAATTCTCTATATCCTTTTGTATCTTGTTTTTTCTAATCATGAAGAAGGCCTACATAGTTGAATTGAAGCGTCAGCATAAAATAAAATATCTTTTTTAATATTTTAAGACCATCTTCCTCAATAATAAAAATTATAATTCAAAAACTTTTACATATAATATTAAATTGAACTTAAATTTAAAAATTTAGTTTAGTCAAATCAACGAATGGACAGGATTATAAATTAAATCAGATAGGGCAAAACTTGACATTTTACATTAGACATAAATATTTAATTTGAAATTAGCTAACATTATGTATAAATTGACTCTATTTTTGATGTTAGGTCAGGAGAAAATAAAATTTAAGGTCAGAAATTGTTGAGGTAACTGTTTTGTTTTTTTGATAATTTAGCAACAATGAATAAATTAATATAGTAATACAACTCTACATATTGAACTGTAGGTTCCTTGAAAAAAATTGATATTATATTTCATTAAAGAGAATGGATGGAATTTTTTATCTTGGTCATATTAAAAATAATAGTTAAAATTTAAGAAGTATCAAAGGCAATAAAGGTCTTCCAAATTCTTATTGCTTAATGAAACAATGATTTTTTTAAAATTTAATAATGACTTATTTTTACAAACTTAATCTAAGAGAAAGCCATTTTTTATGACAATTAAATTTTATGCATATTTTTTAAAAATGACACTTCATTTAATAAATATTAATTTTAATTTGATGTGCAGAACATTTTCTTTTTCTAATAAAAATTCAAGTTTCCTAAAAAAGTTAATTATTCAGAGATTTTTAAGAGATGGAAGTTCTATATATAAAGATTTGATAGTACATTTAACATATAAAAACAAATTTATATTTGAAAAGATTTTTATTGCATTTCTTATCATTTATCATTTATTGCAGAATAAGTATCAATTTTTTGGAAATAAAAGTTTTAGTAATCAATTAGGTGAATTCAAAAAAAAGTTTTTGAATCTGCACTGTAAGAAAACAAAAGTATATTTTACTATCATACTTTCCATAGAACACTTTGAATAATTATTTTTAAAATATCTTATTATATTCTAGGATTTAATCAATGAATTACATCTATATTCACATAACCAAAATTCAAACTAGATATTATTAATTCACCTGATAGGAGATTGTGGCCTGATTGGAGATCGATAATCAGACCGATGCCTAGGAGAATATTCTCGTCTGTCTCTACTGGGAGATCTGCTGGCTTGGCTCCGTGATCTGATAGATCTTGAGCTTGACCTATATACAACAATGTAAAATAATTTGTTAACTAACTCAAAATAAATAGCAAGTGTTTTTATAATAAATTTGAAAATTTTATATAAAAAAAGAAATATGGTGTGGAGCGTGCATCACACAACTTTCACTTACAAGCCTCCTTTTAGGAGAAATAAGTATTTATAAAGCTAAAGGGAAGAAAAAGAAAAATCACAGATGGTACATAATATTTTTTTAAACAATCAAGTACCATACATATGTTTTTCTCAGCCGTCTAATGTATTATAATTAAGTTGTATTTTTTTTTAGGCTAATCATTGTCTTTAAGGATTGCATATTTTAATTATTTATCAGATTATAATAAATTTTAATTCAATTCATATTTAAATAGAATCAGAACATTATATATAAGTTGTAATTTTTATATTGGTGTAATCTATACAATTAAATATTAAATAATATCAACACTAGCATTTAAAAAAACCGCACATGCTATGTGTAGATGCCTGTTCTGAGCTTTAGCCAAACTCGGCTGCGCACACAGTTTTCCTCTGTTCTCTATTAATAACAAATTATATTAATTTGGAGGTCTTGGTCATTTGGAATAAGGGGACCTCAAAACACGTATTTCTGTTTAAAATTCAGATTCAAAAATTTTCACCATCACAATACTTTCCTACTTATATACGATACTTTACTATATACTACGTATATAGGAAAGTGAAATTAATAAAGACAATTTAATAATAAACAATGATTATCATTTCCATCAAGGAGCAGACATGACATAAACACAAAGATGAAGTAAATTTTTCGATGCACGTAGGAGAAATAAACTAACAGTCTCTATTTCGAAAGAGTTCCATTTAAAATTAATTATAACAAGATCATTGCGTTGGTAAAATATTATCTTTGATGAGAAGAGAAATTTTTTCTGTATAATAATGTTATTCATAAGAAATATTATCCCAGATTAAGGTTTAAAGTTTTTCAAAAATAAAAAAAGGACATCAAACTCTTTTTAGAAAAAAAATTGATCCTTATAGAACTTTTGTACTCGTAACCTTGCTGAAACCACAGAATCACAATTTAATAAAATGCTTTGCTTACAACAAAACTTTATGAGTTTGATTAACAAATATAAATCCCACCTGGTTTGAATTATTATATATTATTTTTACCTGCTGATAGTAAATGCTCCTCCACTTCTGCTTCGAGATCTTCTCCTCCTGGGTGGCAGAGAACGAGATCGGGATCTAGTTCTCGTGCTAGCACGTGTTGGAGATCTAGAACGAGATCTGGTTCTAGCCCTTCGTGGTGAAGGAGGTGATCTTGATCGAGACCTTGAATAAGGTGAACGAGAGCGAGATCTACGTTGTGCCCTCCTTTTATCTTGTTCTCGAATCAATCTTTCAAAGAGTTCAACTGGATCATCTATAGGTCTGCAAAAAAAACAAATATTTATCAAGTTGTATTTAATTAAAATAACTTTATTGAGTAGTAAACTTTATTTTTTAAATAAATTATCTGAATTGATACTTATATCTGATCACGTTATTAAATAGAAATATTTTAATAAACAATGAAATAATTGCTTAGTTACCCAGGCGGAATGGTAGTGTTGTTCGGTGAATGAGGTCTAAACGGTGCCCGAGCTCTGCCTCTTAGATATACCTGTCCACTACCCCTCATGTGCGGAGGTCCTCCTGGAGGATAGGGGTAAATCATAGGTGGAGCACGTGGTGGAGCCCGTGTCATGTGATAAGGAGTTCTGGTATACATGTAATTACCTCCTCCACCACCTATGTTAAAATAGCATTAAATAAAAAAATATATTAATTCAAGATTTATTAATTATTCAAAGTATGTGAATATAAAAGGGAATAAATCCATTTTTTATGTTCACCCACATTTGTCCTCTTTAAGATGATGTATGCTTAAACTTTCAAAAGTTATTTATTTCTATTTAATTTTATGTTAGCTAAAAATGAAATGAAAAATAACAATAATACCAAAGCAAAAGATCTGGATTTATTCCCTTTTTAATCTCAAACCCTCATTAATTAAAATACATTAATATAAGTAAGTCTTTGTGCTTTTTAATTCAACTTGGAATTATAATTTGTTTCAAAATAAATATTATTAATAATTTTAAAAAACATTCAACAATAAACTGATAAGAAAATACAGCACTAACCCCGATTGTACATGGGATGTTGTCCTCTGTTATTATGTTGTCCAGAGTTGTTATTCATCGGCTGCTGTTGGACATGAATAATAACTGGGTTCATGCCAGAACCACGTTGATTTCCATGATGAACTGGATACCTTTCACTATTTCTTTCATCGATTGTAGGTGTTCCAGAACGATCACTTCTCCTATAATAAGTAAAACATTTTTTAAAGATTCAAAATGGAGAAGCTAGGTCAAAAGACAATTGAGAAAAATACTGAATTTAATTTAATGTCATGAATTATGAATTAAAATATTTACTCCCACAATGCTATGTTGGTTAGTCCAAATCGTCCCTCTATTGTAGTTATCTGCCCAATATAATATTAAAGCAAAATCAGGTATCTAGAGTAAATATATTTTTAGGGAGAAACGTAGTTGATATTCATTTTTCGCATATAAAAAACCCTTAAACAAGATTTTTTATAGCAATTGAAAAATTAAAATTTTCTGCACGAAATTTTTATCTCGTCTGGATCCTTCGAAATTTTGTCGACGACAAAAATTGTGATAACTTTCCGGACGGAGTCAGACACAAAAATTGTTAGAAATACAGAGCTCTATATGTTACACAAAATGGTGTAAATCTGACCTTCGTAAACAAATTAGAATCAAAGATATAAAATAAAAATGGGTTAGGAGTTTTCTTTTTTCAATCTTTCTGACTTAAAAAAGAGTTAAATCCAAAAGTTATTGATGTCAGTTGTAAGAGCAGTATTTCAGCTTCCAATGATTAAATTAAAGTTAAATTTGAAGAAAATCCTGAGGAGTTACGAATGCTTTAATTGAGGGACGGAAAAAAAAGAATCATCCAAGAAAATTCAGGAGTAAAGATTGTATTTTTTCATTTATATAAATATTGGTATTTAAAGGACCCTTAAAACAAATCTAGTTTGCTTCTTCATAAAAAAAAATTTATTTGGCCTACTTTACTGAAAGAGCATATTGTTTTTTGTAATTAATGATGCTAAATGACTCATTTAAAACAGTCAATATTACTTTTCTTATTCTACACAAAATAAGAAATAAATTTATATATTGTAACCTAACAAACCGAGCAAAGCAAAGGCAAAAATAAATAACATAAATTTTGACTGAAATTATATAATTTTTTTTTCGGTTCCTAAGGTGCATTAGCAAGAACCCTCAGACATGGGTCTAATAATTTTTTACCTAGTATCACTAAAAAAAGTTAAATAGAAATATTTTGTTTGGCCAGCCCTGATGAAGGCCTGAAGAACTTCGGGTCGAAACGTCAGGGAAAATAAAAATAAATATACTTATTTATTCATACAATTTTTTTTTTTTACTGATCACCCCAACCAATCATCTTCTCTTCAATTATTCACTATAGTCAAACATTAATCCACAATAACAAAAAAGTTTCATTGAAATCGGTGAACTCACATTCAGTAACCTACCCCTTGTTAGTATAATAGGTACAACTTGATAATTGAATTATTAATTATAAAAAATAAATAACTCACTTGTTCATGTAGTGCGGTTTCTCCTTCATATGGTGCGGTTTATCTTCACCTTTAGGACAGATAATAGGATTAGGAGGGACTCTAGAAGGAATGTGGTGTAAAGGGGGTCGTTGTGGGATATAGGAAGTGATGGTTTGGAGGGAAGGTATAGCGTTCCCCTGAGGGGAGGGGGGGCCCACTGGTTCCACCTCCAACACTTCATTAACTACAACAACCTCTGCAAATTAAATCATAACGTCTTAGATTAATTTAAATGTTATTCAAAGGTAACAACATATTAGAAGAAAAAAATTGAATAAAATTTGACAAGTCTTCCCATTCCAATCGATTTCATAATAATAAAAAGCCATTCCTCAATAGGAAATGATACTTTTAAGATTCATGGTTTTGTAACAAGTTTTTATAAAATACAACTGCATAAGAACACTTCAAGTCTTAATTACTTTCTAAAAAGATAAAAAAAATAACTTAAATTTCTTTATTTAATACATGGAAACCTGTACCACTACTATCCGGTACTATGTAAAGAAGGACAGTTCATGATCAAAGGTTGTGCAAGGAGATGATTCGACCAAGACCTCTTTTTCTCAACCGTCAGGCTTTTCCCTTAATTAATTAATTAATCAAGAGTACCCACTTTATAGAGGCTGTTTGTGCCCCAGGAGGGTCACTTAAATACTGACATTATATATTTTTATGTCCTTAATAATACACATCATATCCAAAAACAAATGTCATTGAAATGGACAAATCCATATGTAGGTATTTAATAATAATATGATAAATTTTTAAAAAGGTTATAAGTTTATTTTATTTATATTAATATATTTCCTCTTAGCCTTCATATGAGTTATTTCACTGAATACTTCTTTCTTTTGATTTTACTCAACAATATTTTAAACTCCATTATTTCTAGAAATATCTAACTTTATTTTTTTTTTTTTAATAACTCCTTGAATAGACTGAAGTAGAACAGTCATTTTTCTGAACTATTGGGTTGTCCAGAAAATAATGCAGAATTTTGGTGTTTAAAAAGAAAGATTTACAACTATTTTATTTAATCAATAGTCTCCACTACTATCAATACATTTCTGGCAACGTGTTGGAAACTTTTCCTTTCTCTCGGAATAGAATTTCCCATCTTTAGAATTAATGAACTCCCAAAACGTATTTTCTAATTTCCTTTGTCCATTAAATTTTTTGTCACATAAGTAGTGGTCCAGGTGTCAAAAAAATGATAATCCGTAGGCGAGAAGTCCAGAGAATAGGGTGGATGTGGCAGAGTTTTATATCCAAGCTTTAACAGTTCTTGTACGTTGTCACAAATGAGACATGCGGCCTGGCGTCATCCTGTAACAAAATGGGTCCCTTCCGATTGACCAAAGATGGCTTCATTATTGCCAATTTCTGATGCATTGCATTAATTTAGTTATAATACAATTCGACAGTGATGGTTTCGATTTAAGAAGTCCGACCAGTATTTAAGAAGTTGTAGCGTTTCAAACCAAATGAAATCCACCATACAGTAATCATCACCTTTTTTTGAGTTGGGGGCTTTGGAAAATGTTCTGCTGCTTGCTTCTCCTTTGTGGAGCCACTGTCCAGAACGTCTACTGTTATCGTAAAGTATCCATTTTTCATCACAAGTAACAATTCTGGACAGAAAAGGGTCGACTTTGTTTCGGCAATGAAGTGTAGCACATACTTCATAATGCAGGTTTTTTTATGGGTGGCACCCAAACTTTCAACCTTTTTTACCTTTCCAATCACCTTGACGTGGTCATCGACAGTTGATTAACTAAGGTTAAGTTTCCCTGCAAGTTCTCGAACAGACAAACAAACATTATCCTTTGGACGAGAATTAATAAATGTTGAAGTTCATACAAATGAATAATCCAGTAAACGTAAACAGTTTGTTGTACAGAGGGATATTTTAAAGAAAACTCAAAATCCTGCACTATTTTCTGGACAACCCAATATATTCCTATATCTAAAGCCATACTTTAAAAATTTAAACAAAGTGTATTTTCCTCCTCTGCTGCTCTTCACTTTTTTCTATCTATTTGTCAGGCTGATGAGACATATAATGACATATAATAAAATAAAATATTTAACCAAACAACTAAAGAATATTTTTAAAAAAATATTAAAAGAAATTGTAGTTTAAATAATAATTATGTTTAAATAGTATTAACAAATATAAAAGAATGTTATATATTGACAGCCATGCTGTAAAAAAATTTAAGTGAAAAATCTAAAAATAATTTAAAAGACAGAAAAAATTTGTTTGAACTTATAAACGAGATTTTCTGTTCAATTTGAGTAGCACTTGTAAGGCAATGATTTAATGTTTCAAGTATTATTTTTGGTTTGTGTTTCTAAATACGGCCATCACCAAGATAAACTAGAAAAGCTCAGACTAGATTCACTGTTGTTGATTTCAATAAAAATAAAAACTTTAAACAAACGAATAAAAAATATCAACATCATTAATAATGTCAATGGCTTATCTCTAAAATGTAAGAATGAGTTAAACCTATGAAGTTTTAGAAGTAAGCTATTGATATGGTTCAAAACAGAACGTAATCTTTAAACAAAATTAACCTTTGTATTAAATATGCATTGTTTGCTAAAAAAATAAGGTGTATAAATGTAATCTAAGTAAAAGATAATTAAAAAGAAAAGAAATGCAACTATAACTCTATTGAAATGAATACAACTGATTTTCATGATAATAATTAATGATATTATGGAAGGAAATATACTTGTAACTGCGATGCAACTCTTTTAAATAAATGCTGAATGGTGCCAAAAAGAATGAACACTTTTAAAATAAATAAATGGTGTATAGTAACTGAAATTCTCAGCTTATTCAAGACTTTTTCCCTACTTCAAATTATTCCCGACTTTTTCAGCATGTTAAACCAAAAGAAGGAAACTGATTAACCAAACTGAGAGAGTACAATTTTCATAAACTGTACAACACATGCTATAACAATTGATATGAGCTAACTTGTGTGATCTTATGTTTTTCAGTCCTGATGGGACTGCAATTTTAAGAAACAAATTTGTAATAATTTATAATAATAATGTTAGTTTTTTATCTTATTTTATTTATTTATTTTTTTTTTTTGTATAGGTTTGCTTCCCTTCCCTTTCATTCAATTCTTCGTGATTTGTCAATCTTCAATTGTCAATTTTCAAAACTAATTAGATTGTTGATCATCAATATAATATATATTCCAAGAAAATGACAACAACCAGAAAAATGATTTAAAGACAAAAATTCATAGATAGTTGAGATAAAATAAATCTATAGCTAATAACTAGTTATCAACCAATTTTTTCTTCATTAATACCTAAAGCACTTAATTAAACACACTATTTGTCATTTATTGAATTTTTTTTTATTCTTAATAGGTAATGAGCGCCCCCCCCCCCAGCGCTCCCCCGGGCCATTGTCAGGATTGCCTAGCCCTAAGGCCGAGTATAATATGTAAAAACACCGAAATCTTATTATGTACCTCAACCATCCTTATTATGTAAGTTCACCATTACAAAATAAGAAAGCAATGGTTTGAAATCAATATGTAAATAAATCATAGATATTAGTTAATATAGGGTTCAAAACGTTATGAGTAAAAAGGATGTGGCTCAAACACACTCTCCCAACACTCAAACACACCCACCCTACCCCCGAACAAGCCCGAACTCTCCCAAAATAGAGCAACCTTATATTTGTAGCAAACTCATCAAATTCTTGATAAACAGTCACCAAATGAATTTTATTTGGTAAAGTAAAACTTAAATTTAATAAAGAAATAATATTGAAAGAAAGTTTAGTTAGTTCACTGTCTTTGTTTGTTTTTTATGCTGTGTTAGATGTCGTTTACCCTAACAAGTAAATGTTCCAGTAATGAACACTGTACTCGTAATAGATGGCTTTCAACTCATTAACCCATCAATAAGCTTTATATGCTCAAAAGAGAGTGCGAATATGAATTTACAGTTAAAACTAGTTATGAGGATGATGTCTGTACGTCAATTATTTGATAAGCTCCCTTCCCATATGATTTTTCTTTTTTTTCAAAACAACTATGTAACAAATTTAAAAAATAATAGAGATATTAATGTTATAGAACTTTTAAGATTTGAATCGGACATCAAAATTGTCAAAATCGAAACATACACACTATAGAATAACAAAAGAAAGTTATTGTTTTTTTCTTGGCTGATTACTTTCCTGAAAAAGTGACACTGTTAAAGTCTACAAACTTGCATAGTGGAAAAAGGATAAGTGAAAAATGATATAAAAAATAGCCCCTCCTCCTGTTTTTTTTTTTAAATTATCTTGAAAATTGGTGATTAACATAAAATTAATAATAATGAATAAATAAAAATTGATTATTTTAGAGATAACCATTCCTAACTGGAAATAGTTTTTAACGAAATTGAAACAACGAAACCAGTTTTCAAGTTTGATCCAAAAATTGCAATTAAGATCAAAGCTGAGAATAATAAATTTTAAAAATAAAATGAAATAGTTTGTTAAACACCTTGAAACTCATAAGCAAATAATGAATATCGTTTATAATGACATCCCTTATAACGGCTAATATTTCTTGGCCAGCGGCTCGACAAACCTTAGCTATTTATTTATTATCAGATATAACAGCTGATCTGTCAAATCGATTCATTTTGATGACTCATCAAACAATTAGGAATCGGTTTTAGCGACGGCATTCCAGGAACTCAAAAGAAAGCCTTGTCAGCAAAAACTTTTAGCTGTCTAAAAATCTTTCTTTTAATTTAACCAATGTTTTGGAGATTCGTTGCTGCTATTGCAAGTGTTTACAAGTCAGTTTTATTATTTCTTCCTAAAGTGATTCCTCATGTTTAAAAGAAAAACTTCTAATCAGACTAAAATATTAAACATATGTCATTGTATCATATCTCGGAAAACAAGGTCTCGATTGTAGAAAAAGGGTACCTGTTAAAAATTAAGAAACACTGTCATTCTAATCACGAAGAAACCATTGATCTATTGCTGTAATGATTTCATATTTTAAAGAAGTTGTGATATTCCTCTCTTAGGTCTAATTCAAGCCGCTTAAGAGAATAACTTTGTTAAAACTAACCCCTCTAATTCTAGAAAATCTTTGGAAGAAGAAATTTCTAGAGATTGGATTCATGGATTTTGTTCTAGGCATAACATTGTTTTAAAAAAAATTAATAGTAAAGCACTTTCAGGAACATCTAACAGCTGGTAATCAAGCATAAACCAATTCATCGGAGTACATGATGCATGTAGTAGATTTGGCATTGGTTCTAACGACCAAACATGCCTGATCCCTCCTAGGAGGTCATTATTAACAATATCCAGCGTAGTTTTAAAATTTAACAAAATTTCTTTTTACAATCTTAAAATAAAAATAGAGGCAGAAATGATTTCTTAACCATTCTAGATTCAAGATATTTTAGTTGAAGTTTTATTATTGAATAATGACACTCGATTTACTTAATAATTAAGTAATAGTAATAATATCGACATTATGCTTAAAAATTATTTTATTTGCTTACAACTTTAAGTAGCTTTAACTTACAAGTAATAAAGCAAGGCTAATAAATTTTTAACATTTATTAGATAAACTTGAAAAACAACTTTGAATATAATAGTTTTAAGTTGCAAAACAAGTTAAGAAAAAAGATAAACAAGAAATACATCTTCTGAAATATAAAAACAAGTGACAATGGTACATTATTTTCAAATCAGAATGAAAATTCTTTAATTGAATTGAACAATGTTATTATAATAATCTTAGTTTAGTAACAAATAAATCTTCACCAATTTCAATGGTTTCATACATACCATCAGTTGTAGTAGTTGGTTCCTCCTTCTCAGGGCTAACAGGAGGAGTTGGTGTATGAACTGTTTGAACGTCTTCAACGGCAACTGGTAACGGTAACTGCGCAGGATGATGGGCTTGCAGAGTTGGGGCTTGAGAGTGTGATTGCTGAGTCGAAGTCGCAGCAGAAGTCTTAGCAACAGGAGTCCTTATATAGCCAGTCTGATTTTTAAAATTATTAACAGCATTCCTTAAAAACCTATTAGGAATAAGCGTGTCAGGGGAAACGTCCTTTTCTCTACAGTCAGGACACTGGTGATCTTCTGATTCCAATAACACATTTCGAATACCTAAAAAGAAAACATATTTCTAAGTTTTAAAACCACCAAAATCTAGTTTTAAAAAAATAATATGAAGTTTTGGAAATATCAGTTATTCCAAATTTGTTACATATTCATAAATTTTACAAACACAAAGATGAAATTTCTCTGAGATTGAATTAAAATCTACACATCATTTTCACAGTTTGTATCAACAACACCTAGTCCTAATTAAAATCCGCTCATAAGATTTATAAACCTATAAAATCACATAAATGCAATAATTATTGGACCATAAAATCAAGAATGAAACAATCTACACTTTAAGTTCGCAAAGGGTAAGCCAAATTGATCAAAGTAAAATAAAAATAAAAATTTATAACTATTATTTCAAGAAAATGTTATATGTTGAAAAATCATAAACACTATAATACTTTGAAACTTTCTGAGAACTCAACCTAGCCAACAAAAAGCCCTAACCTTTTGCTGACATGAAACTAAGTGAAGGTCAAATTTAAATCTGAAGAAAGTCCAGAATTAACAGATATATAGCTAAAACCATCTGGTTTTGACTTAATTAATTACACAATCCATTAAAAGGGACTAAAACACTCCCATATCTCCTGGGGTACCATAAAGAAAGATTGAAAATTATAGAAAAAAAAGAGATTTATTTAAATTCAATAAATATATCACAATAATTTTGGAACTTAAGTAGTCTTAACATTCTATTCTAGTATATGGTATTTTTACCAGGAAAGTTTTAGAGAAATTCTGGGAATATAGACATTTATGAAAAACATTTACCCCAAAAACTAAAATTAAAAAGTACAAAGAAGCTTTAATAATTATATGATTTCAATATTTCTCACATAGCATGAAAACTCCTGAATTTTCGTAACATCAGTAATCAGTAAATTAAACAAAAGAAAATTACTAGTATTTTGTAAAAGGCAAAAGATTTATTTGTTTAGAAAGGAGAACGGAGGTATATACATAGTACATAGTACACATTATTGTACATAGTGTGAATGAACTACTTCTCTATCACTATTACTATTGTACTTAGATGTGAAAGATCGTAATATTTCTTAATAAAGATTATTATCTAGTTAGTATTTTATATTTCTTTCGGCTGAGCATCCTTTAAGAATATTTTTCCAACTGACAAATAAAATAACATTAGTATACTGGACTAATTAATGAGCGGGTGTGCTTCTTAAAGAGGCTAGAAAGGGACCTTAATGAAAAGCTTTGGAAGAAGTTTTGAACATTTTCGATTTTATGTTTTTCCACGTTGCTGATTACGAATTTTAATTGCACCACATATAATTGAGGCAGTAGGACACTTATATTCTTGGGCCCATTGGCTGAGTTTTTTGTTTTTTATGTTGTAGACCACCAAAATAAGGAGATAGTGCGTACCTCTCCCCCTTTCTCCCACTGATTTCTCCATGACCCTTCTAATCACAGAAGTTTATCACAACTTAATTCAATTCTTAGAAAATCTAAGAATTTCAAGTCCCTTAGAGGCTGAAAGTGTATCACTTTTTGAAGGAATTAATTAATCAAAAGGAAAAAACAAAAACTTTATAATTAGGAAGTAATTAATGTGATAAAACTATTTTTAAGTATGTTTCTGAGAAGTTAAAACTTTGAACTAAATATAATTAATAAAACTTACGAAAGTGCGGTTTTGAGGGTTTGAAGAGCTGAAAAGTAATTTCAAAAGATAAGCAATTCTTTTCATGGTATGAATATCCATTTCATGCGGTTCTCATTGCTTTAAGAAAAATGATTTTATAAGTCTCGTTATAGCATTCAAAATTATGAAACGGAAGACACAAAATTATAAAAATTAATATTAATTCAGATACCTCTTGTACTGATGTAAGACCAGATTTAATTTGCCAAACAAGAATCTTCTTCAGGCAAGTTTATCTTATGCCTGAACAATGGAGGGCACAAGAGTATCTGCCGCTGATCAAACACCTGACCAGAACCATAAGTCATTCCTTTCGTCCAATGTATTATTTTATATCTCAAATTTCGAAAATAATATCAACACAGCTCTTATAGTATAATATTTGATTTTTGTGAGACTAAAAGTAATATATAAACATAAAATATAATGGCTTGTTGGTGAAATAATTTTTTTTTTGTTTCTTTTTTGATTCATCTAAAATTTGAATATATGTTTTGTTTTAAAGTGCTACAAAATTAAATTTCGCCAAGTACTTCTTTAGTTTATCCTATTCCAATCTTCATGGACTTGCAAAGAAGAAGAGATTTTCTTCTTTCTACTTATAGATTTTCTTAGTGCATTATCTTATACACAATATATAATCTACATAAAAAAATTGATAGATCCTTCCTGCATTGTTTTCTTTTTTTTTTTTTAGTTCACCTGAAAATTTGCTTGTTTTTTTTTGTGCTAAAAGTAAATCTAATAGTACTTCTGAATACAATTTTTTTACGATACTTTAATTTGATTAAAAATAATGTAACCATTACATATAATTCAACGGAATGTAGTTTAGTTAAATATTGTTTTGGTTTTCAATCATGTTTTCTACCTAAAGGTTTTTCAATCAAAATCTGTGGTAATTTTGTCTGTGAAAAAAATCCATCTAGCTAGTTTAATTAACACTTAAAACACTGTTTTAAAATTATTTGATGAACAATTATTTTTCAATGTTTTAACATTTCCAAGTTAGTCATGGGGTGCGGACAACAGTTACACACAATTGAGTTTAGTTCCCTTGGTTCTTGCAATATTGCTAAACGAAAACCCTGATGAAGACCTAAAATGTAGTCTATACAATAAATATTACTCCGACACAGTAGTGGATTCAGGATTTAATTTTGGGAACCTTTTTCTTTTTTTTTTTAGTAAAGGTAATTAATCCGGAGGGAAAAAATACAAAAAACAGTTTCGAGTGGTTCTTGAAGGGGAAAACAACAGGAATTATAGGAACAGTAGTGGACAACAGTAATGGATTTAGAGATACCTTTCTTATAATTCTTCACGACATATATTAGTGTTTTATAGCTTTATATCAATTATAATTTAAAAAGAGAATATGCTGTGATGGTTTCAAGTATTTACCTAAGATTACTCACATGAACTTTATATTGAAAAAAGCATCAATGAAAACAAAAATTATTTTTGCATTTTTTTTTAGGGGGGAGGGGAACTTTAGCCCGAAAGCATTTCTCTTTCCTCACAGATCCTGATCCATCAGTGCTCCAATATATTATGTGGGAGTGACAGTTGACTGTATTCCCTGACTAACTTCTAAAATTACAACTACCGTCAATTAATTCCAAACAGTCATTTTTATATTTACTTTGAACTACCATTAAAACCATGTTGACATAATTTTCAAATATATAAAATAAAACAGTTTTGGTGTGTTTTATTAATTAAGTAAAGCCTAAAGTGACAAAAAAACAAACAACGTATTTGATTTGTTTACAATGTAAAATCACTAAGTTGGATTGAAATCAGCAACAGACACATGCACACTCCTACTGGCATAATATAAATCTTAAGTTAGGTTAAGCTTATTTTCTTAGTACCACAATACTAATGTCTTGGTGTATCTCTAAGCACTTTTCAGACACCTTCAGCAGAAAATATTTATCTGAGTTTCAAAAGAAGTCCACAGATAATTACAAGTAAATTATTCATATAACATCGACACCAATAAAAACTTTATAATGATTGCGTCCTGAATATTTATCACCCATTCATATAAGTTTATTTCTTTTCACCAATCTTGTCTTCCTCATCTATACATATTAATGGTTCTATTCACCCTCACTACCCAGCTTATCCCCCCAAAATACTAAGCACCAGACATGTTTTGTTAATTCAATAAAAAGATTTGATAGATGAGTCAAATTATAATGAATTACTAAGCACTACAGTCAAATGCTGACCCATTAAATAAAAGAGTTTACTTGTTCCTTTTTTCCCATACATTTTCCTAAACTGAAACATTATAAACTTATAATTACTACCAGTTGGCTTGTGCGAATAATTCACAGAAAATTTTGTTTAGTGAAGGAATAGCCAAGCAATATGGAAATAAGTAGATCCTAAATACTATGTGAGGGAGGAATTAATTGTTTTTTCTTGGTCGATTAACCTATTCCATTTAACATGATATACCAAAATATTTTTACAAATCTCTTTGACAGGGTCTAACACTGACTGGAAAGGAAACATTCAAAATAAAGCGTCGATCGTGGGATTTTCTAAATGATTAAAAAATATAAAATTTACAAACGAAAAAATGCCTTTAAGAAATAATAAAGTACATATCAGCCAGGAAAAAAAGGGTAGTAGAATAGTAAATGTAGTATCTTAAGTATACCAAAACTAAAACTAATGGATTGTATATTTGTTAATAATTGTGCAATTATTACAATTTTTTTTTGTTTTGTAGGCAATTTTGTAATCTTCCTAATTATCATGGGTACAATCCAGAATAAAATACATAGTTTTTGAGTTATTCACAAATAAAGTTTCTTTTTCACTTAAATTTCGAGGGATTTAACTATTTTTCCCACCTGAAGATGAAGATTTTTAAAATGAGGGCTCAATTATTGGATTTGATGAAGAATTTATAAAGTTATGGCGTTGCAACGGAAAAACACCATATATTATTACAGTAAGGCTCAAAATCAGTTTTGTACCAAATATAAGCTCCTGTCATGCTTAAATACCATGAATGGTGTACCGTTTGATTCAGAATTTCACAGGGGGTTAGCAAATCGTATTCTCCACTTTTGTTTTTCTTTCTAAAATTAATACAAACATAAAAATAGATACAAACATTTTGCTAGATTTCAATACTGGAAAGGTGGTAGGTCTGTAGATCGATACTGGACAAATTGGATCTTGAAGATTTTGATGTGTACAGCAAGATCTTCGGAACTATCGGATCATGCATTTTTAAGCCCAAAAACGTACTATTTTCAAGATAACGCAAGGCATAAGGTTCGAATCCACACAACCTTAC